GCCAAACTCGTGCCAGGCAGGAGAGGCACCGTTCCGGACGGAGAGCTCCTGCGGGGTTCCACTGTGGTGAGACTGGCTTTGCCTATCTGCCAGGGCTGTGCACTGAGACACTCCTTCTTCCCAGCTGCGTCCTCCTCTTCAGACTGTTTGGGCAGAACTGTGTCAATGCAGCTGTTACAATAATTCCATAACTAAGACCTAGAAGTTTATTCCATTCCTGAAATGTCTGACCAGGACTGTCTTGTTTATTTTTTGTTTATCTGTGTCTATTCTTTACATAAGGATGCGCTATGTCCCAGTTTTGTCAGGGACAAAGTGGCTAAGGTGGACGGATGTTCTTACCCATATTTTATATTCTTAAGTTGTGGCCTTTATGTGTTAAAAATAGCTAAAAATATGTTAAAAATATTCTCCTCCCTTGCTGGCATGACATGCAGGGCAGCTGTACAGCACCGACAAGAGCAGAGGCTGGCTTAGCATCTTCCGACACGCACGTTATTGTAATTCCAATACTGTAATTCCATGGAGTCTACTATTAGCAAGGCACCAGGCCACATACCTGTTACACTACAGTTACAGCTAATTGCTTCTTGTTTTCCTCACACAACACAGCCTTCTATAAACAAAGCTATAAATAAGATTCCAACTTAATCTGTCCTCAGGCTGCCGACAGCATTGGGAGAACCCTTGCGAGCCCATGAAGAACTCACCAGGTCAGGGCTGGAGCTGAAGCAGCTCTCCGTCTGCCTAGGGGAGTAACTGGGGGACCGGCTGCTCGGCGAGGACTCCATGTCTGAAAGAAGAGCTCACACTGAAAGGAAAGTTACTCACCAAAACATGGACCTCTCTGACACGGGGCAGGCAGGATTAAACTGCGGCTGCTCTGAAGTGTTAGTGGTGCTGCCCGCGGCCCTGCACAGCGCTGACCACACTGCCCGTGCAGAGGAAGGAGGAGCGCCAAGGGCCAGGGCACCGAGGCAACACTGCAAACTCCTGGCACCCATCAGGCGACACACACGCTATGTGGCCTGGGGCCACGTTTTCGTCTTGGGGATCCCTCAGGAATCTTCTGCTCTGAAATGCAGCCAGCTGCTCATCCTCACAGCTACGGAGGAGCAGAGCAGATGCCAGTGCGGCGGGTCTGGGTGATCAGATCAGCTCTTCTGATCTCTCTAGTGGGTTCCTTTTTAGCAGTTAGCCCTGCTCTTAGAGTTAGGGGATGGTCTTGGGAGAAATGCGACAATGACAAAGATGTGGATAATACTCACCAGAGAATGGCTAACCTGAATTTATGTTTTCAAAGAAAAGCAGATACAGATAGTTCTTAGCTATCCAATAATGCTAGTCTTCCTTATACTGCGCTGCATGAATCAAAAATACAAGCGCTCATCAAATCTAACATCCTAAAAAGATGAAAACACTTCTCCCCAGCTTTAAAATTAACTTTTTTGGTTTTATATGTGGGTAAAAATTCTGATTTTTGATTTTATAATGTATAACTGGTACTAACCTGTCTTCAGCTCATGAAGTTTTGGACTCACTCCAGACTTATACTCCTTCTCTTGCACAGTTGCAAACTTTTAAAAATAAGTAAAAATATTAATAGCAAAGGTTCAACTGGATCAGCAGCTCACGGTAAGTCAAGAATATTCAGTTTCTGTGTTACATAAAGGAAGTCACTGCTGAGACCACAGTGCAAAATCTGACCTTAAGGGCAAACGGTAACTGAAATAACCTATTTTAGGCATCAACTTAGTTGTGAATAAAAGTATTTAAATAAACGACCTGTAAGTGCTACTTGAACTATGTAACTAGAAGTTGCTCCTCTTGGACTCCCTGAACAAACAATGAAGGAAGAGAAGCTTCCAAAAAGTTAATTCAGATAAGTTAAATTCAGTTTGTAAATGGTACAAATATCCCTCTTCCCATCCAATAAATGATGCAAACACTCTGGTGTTAGATAACACAAAATACGTTTCTTTAAAAAGTTACCGCTTCAAATCCAAAGAGCTGTCCCTGTCTCCAAGCTGATTCTTTCACATTCTTCTTGTCACTGAGGGAGGCAAACATACAGTTCTTTGGTAAATGTTTTCCACTGTACTTTTATTTGCTTTTTGAATTAAATTCATTACTGTACAGATCTTGCAACACATTTTCAGTACTGTATTAAATCATGCATTGTTGTTATTTGTGAGCTTATTTTTTGTCTTCTGTAATTACAAAAAGCTTTCCACTACTGAGATGACCGGACTTATTTCTGAATCCTGACGTATAACACCACAAATCTTTTCTTATTCCCATCTTCACTACTTCTACAATCTTCCACTTACTCTAGAAATGTAAAAGATAATGTGAGATGACTGAAGGTGGTGGAGCTTTGTAAAATGGAAAAAGTTATGGAGCAGCAAATTTAACGAAACTGTCTCGCTATAAAATGCGGGGCGCACACACACCCTGGCTTTAGTCCAGGGCAGGCAGCTTCTCTAGACTTCATCTACAGTCAGTGGAAGGAGTCAGGATCTTTTAGAGGACAAGTCAGAGCAACAGCTTAACCTCAGGCTCTCAAAACTGTCTCAGGAAGGAGTCTCTACTGATCACTGAGAGACAAACCATGGTGCACGGGGCTTACATTCATGCCAGTTTATTCATATTATTATGGGTTTTTTTTGCACTGAGTAGTATTATTTAGAATTTTGCCTTCCTATTCAGCTGGCCAGGATTTCTCCCTGTACTTATCACTATCATTGTAAGTCTCCGTACTTATCACTAGTTATTAGATTGACAGTTTTTATGACACTCACCTCTTTTTTCTTGAGTGGCTCTGCAAATCTTCGTTTAAGTTAATCTGCTGACTGTGGTGGTAAGTGAATGCCTCTAAAACCAAGAAGTAAACCTTGATTTTAAAAATGCAAAAGCTTTTAAAATTAAATGTTTCTATCAACCTTTCATTAATGGGATCTCTCTTTCAATTACTGGAGTCCCAAAATTCATGACACTTTTTCAGTCAGGGTAGACATATTTCTGTTTACAAAATCCATCAGTCTTTAAAAGGAGGAGAAACCACAGCCTTTATGTCCTTAAGCTACTGTCACTTACCATGTTTTTCAAGTTTTGCAGGTTCTTCTCTGTTTTCAGGGGGTGCCAAGTAGTATTGTCTCTCGTGATAGGCCTGCAGACAGGTTTTATAAGGTTCTCTGTTTTCCTTGTAGCTTGCACTTGAGATACAGTTACTGTTAAATAAAACCTGTTCTGGAGCTGTGAAAATGCCTTTAAGGTGTCTGTCTATAGAGCCTCCTTTTGCATTAATTGCAGGATGAACCTCCCCAGTATCGTAAGTAAAACTTCTGTCGGTCATTTGGTTTCTGTCATCAGGACCAGTGAAAAGATTGGCAGTACTGCTTTGGTTAACAAAAGGATTAAAATGCGTCGTGGAGAGATTATTATGGTCTGGCTGGCTCTCATCTTCAAACATTGTCAGGAAGGAACAATGACGTTCATCTTGGGGAGGTACCAGTTCTGCGGGTTCTTTCACAACACTAAAAAAAGGCTCATTTATTCTTTCGATACTTTCTGGTTCTTTACTGGTCATTATCACTGGATTTTTGCTGGCAGAATTCGTATAGTCTGGCCTTTGTGGGTGAGAGAAGGAAAAACAGCTGGCTGAGTACATAAATAAGCAAAATACTAAACTGTTAACACAACAGATGATCAATTTGATGTTAAAAATATCAAAGATTTCCCTTTTACTGTGTGTCACATAGCTTCTGTCCCAAATGTATGTTATTTCAACTGAACAAAAAAATCCTGTATTTTATTTCCATTTTATAGAAAAGTTGCTTTAAAAGGGGCTTTGTTTTTAGAATATCTCTGAAAAATACCAAGACATGGAGCACTTCCTCCTCAGTAAGGAACTGTGCTTTATAAAATCAGCCACAGTATGTCACTGCTGCTCCACTCAACTGACCAAAGGAGCCCATTTTGGAAGCAAAAATAAATAAAGCACAAGGCAGCTGCTTCTGTTTAGTTCACTGCTGTACTGCAAGTCCATAATAAATTCATATATTGTTTAGCTTGTGTTCTCTTCAGCAAAGTGTCTTCCACTTGTACCCGAGGTCAGGAATTTTAATTCAGCATATTTTTTTCCTATTTTATGTAGTCTGGAAAATTATTCCAAGAGAAAAATTCCATGATGTCCCAATCAGCAAATACTTAGAAGTGAATAAAAAGCCTAGATAACTTAAATAGAAATTAGTGTCCTCTACTTACAGAAAACCCCATAAAACAATTTTTTTTAAGACTAAACATGCTAGAGCTCTTTGTTTGTTTGTTTGTTTTGGTTTGTTTTTGGAGAAACTTGGACACATTGTCTAAATTAGGAAGGTAAAAAACATTTTGTGAAGCGATGCAGAGGCTCTTCAGTTTAGCTGATCATTTATTAAAGCTAAGTAGAAATGAATAGTAAATGAGGAAATAGCTTAAACACTATTCACACTAAAAAAGTATCTGATATTTCTAAATGACCTCAAAATATAGTAGGTAATACTTAATAAACTTGAGGGGCCACAACTCTCACGTATATACTTTCATCACAAAATCAGCAGTATGTTACAATTACATTAAATTATTATATAAAAATATTCTTTACTTTTCACATTCAGTGAAAGACTCCTAGAAAGGACAGCTATTGAGGTAAAAGAATCTGTGAGGATCTTGGCTGAAAACAAGAAATATCCACAGAAATGGAGCTGAAGAACAGTTGGAAAGGTGAATGTTATCCTCCTGTTAGGTTTTGCTGGAGAAGACTAGGAGAAGCTCGGAGAAGACGGAGACATTTCATATGGCTAAAACTGATGGGCCTGTTCAGTTGTCAGGTGGTGAGTGCAGCATGGGCTCATCGGTCTCCTGGCTCCCCAGGCAAACAGGCTGTGAGCACTTCAGGAACAGCAAAATGATGTGTGATGGTTGCCAGCCAAAGCTAGAAACGGAGAGCAATTGCACACAGGCTTAGGGAATTAAAAACTGGAGGAAAATTAGGAAAACCACTGAAATTAAATGTTTGCTATGAACATGTCTGGTTCTGAACCCTCTGTTGATTAAAAAGATCAGCACTTTAAAAAGGAAAATAATTCTAGATTTCTGCTGCTTCTTTTAAAAATTAAAGTGTATGTTCTCATAAAAGTGTTACTGAACCAAATACTTGAAACACTGTAGTAGAATCATTTAAATACAGGAAGAAAAACAAATATTTTGCTCCTGGAAGCCCAAATGCAAACAACACAGATGGAAAAGTCGCTCAGACCATGCAGCATCAAGGTCACCAGAAACGCACTTACAATAGTGAACAGAACTAATGAGAGCAGGGGCAGCCACCTCTCTCTGGCCTCTCAGTAAATAAAGCTTTTCTCAGTGAGTGAATTCAGTAACACCTTCTTACTTGTGACACTACAAAAATTGCATCTTGCTTTGAAATGCCTTTCTAAAAATCACATTTTGCTCCATTGGCAAATTTAAAAGTATCTTGATATGTTCACTCCTCCTATGTAGTCTCAATTTCCATTTCAGGAGCAGCAAATTGAGGAGCAGCTACTTGAAAAATCAAGTACCAATAAGTTTCAGATGATCTTAGCAATTTTCTTATTCAAATGGACCTTTTTTTCCTCTTGCTAATGAAAACCACTGCCTACCTATTCAATGGCTTGAACAGTTCCTGAAGTTCTGTATCAGACTGCTTGAAAATGCACTGGCTTGGGGTTTTCAGCATCCAAGGGTCTTGATCAGAAATATCTCCTTCCTGAGAGAATGGTACAAGCTGTCAGACCGTGCATGATTGCAATATTTACAGTGTTTTAACCATTAAAATACTGTCTGCACACAAGATTTTTTAAACCTTTTTACTTCTTTGCACCTTTGTTGTAAAGCCCCCCAAAACACACAATGAATCAGTTTGCAAAATGCCTATTCCATGCATATACTTCTGCAAAAACACCGAACGACAAACTTACTGAAGTTGCACTAAAGATCCCAGAATAATTTTGTGTGCAAAGTCTCTAGCACTCTAGCGTGTGTCTCTAGCACAACCTCCTGCTCAAAGCAGAGCCAGCTGCCAAGCTACATCAAGTTGTTCAGGGCCTGAGTCTGAAGATTTCCAAGGACAAAGATCTTTGGATGACCTTTCTTGATGCTTAACCACTTTTGTGACAATATATTTATTTATTTTCTATACAAACAGATTTTCTGTGGAAACAATCTCTGCTTCCACACTTCCTTCTTGTATTTGAGCTCCTGGGGAGTTCCCCATGCAGCCTGGTTGCCCTCTTGGGCCTCCTTGTTTTCCATCACTTTGTGGTGGTTCGTTTTTGTGTCCTGAAAAGGGTGGCCATGAAGAACAACCATCTTTCTTAGGCTCCTGTGTCCCTCAGGCCTTCTGTGACTACTTGCCTACATATTTCCTGAATAAGCCAACATCTGCTTTTCTGTAGCTCTCAAGTACCCTTTCCTCACCTCAAGATTTTAAAATACCACCGGTGATACACACAGAGTTTAAAAACTATTATTATTTCCATACAAATAATATATTTTCTTAAAAAGTGTATGAGGAGAATCCCTTTATATTTGCTATATTTTCCCAATGCTGATTCTTTTAAGAAGCCTGAGAGGAACCAAAAAAAAAAAAAGAAGAAGAAGAAGAAAGATAAAAAAAAGAAGAAAAATATAACTTAGAACAAATAACCTTCATTAAGTTCCTAGTTTGATTGCAAATTAGGTCACAGTGACCACCTGGCATCATATAACACCTAATTAATCATATATGGCAGAAAGCTATATTTAGAATTGACCATTTACAATTATCTTGATCATTACCTTAATTGTCCAGTCCCACCAAGAAAAAAAAAAAAAGTTATTTTATACCAATACTACTAAAAAGAAAAATATCTATCATCAAACCTGTTTTTCCTGCTTCTCTTCATAGGACTGCTCCCAAGAGTTCCACATTAAGTTTGTATTGAAATTTTCTTTTGAAGACTGTGTACAGTTAGAAGACCAAAAAACTGAAGATGACAGTGGACCAGCACTAAGGGCTGCTGCAGGGTCATCTTCATGTCCCATGCTAGAGTCAGCATAAGTTAACTCTGTAACTTGTGATAACTAGATAAAAAAGAGCAAAAGGATATTTCATTTATCTAAGACTGTTCTCATGCAAGTATAAAGTTCAAAGTAATCAGATCTTTCATTATCTTTTACATCTCTTTGCACATATGAAAGAATGAAAGAAAAAAAATTCATGTATTCCGATATGACTTTTTTCACCAAAATTGCAAGTGGAGGCTGCAGACAAACTTAGCTGCCATTTCGATCCAGTACTTTTGGCCATGCTGTATCTGAAAAATTGCCTCCAGACCTTCAAACAACAGGGGAAAAGAATAATAAATGAAAACTGACTGAGTATAATATCAAAAATGTAGTGGCAGCTCATGGGGATCTTGGTAAAATACATGGGACAGACAAACTTCTCAGTATAAAATATTTATTTCTTGCTGAAAAAAGGGATCTTCTAATACTAGAAACATCTATCTTTCTTACTCCACAAAACATGGTTTGACAACATGATGGGCCAGGGCACTGGAGAACAAGGCTGATTTAATTTATTTTGCAAGCCTCATCTCCTGAGGGTTTCTCTGATGCAGGCAGCAGATACAACAGAGCTCTAAGCACATCTGAGGGATGTAAACTGAAAGCGTTTCTAACAGGTTTACTAAGCTGAGTACTTTTTTTTAATACAATAGTGGGATATGTCATAAAGAAAGCCTGAATTCCACCTGCAGAAAACTTTTCAACTGTGAAAAGTCCTGTATAAACTTCCCAGTGGTACCCATTAAGATATGGACATAGTATTAAGACCTTCTCGGAGACTCATTTTCTGTCTGTGCTGCTCGCATTTCACCAAACTCTAATGCACATGGTTTTCAATTGCCCTACTGCTCTTTCCCATAATCTCTGCCCACTGTGGCCAGCTTAGAGTGTAGATATTCTTAAGTATTTTGGAAAATGCCTAAAACAAGGTGAGGCTTTCAAGAAATAATCAAGAAATAACAGTAACAAGTGCAAAACTGGGCCAGCAAATAACATCTGAATATAGCCTTAAATAGGAAGAGTTCATGTGTTTCAGTACACATGAGATGTAATCATTCTTTGAAAAAATCACACACTTTGAAAAAAATATGGCTGTTGTATATTTTTAGCTTGGAACCAGTGAGGACAAAAAACTTACATTATTCTGGTATTTTGCTTTCTCTGAAAGATGCTGCCTTCTGCTGTCCATTACTTGTTTTTGCAACCTTGGAAAATGAATTTTTAAAAAATCTATGAAAATTATGATATAAAATGTATGAAATAAATCTAAGTACAATATTAATTTCCAAATATTTTGGAAATATTTTTTCAGGCATTTTAATAAAAGGCCTTTTTTTAAGAGGTTCTGAGCAGTCAGGCTGTGAGTCAGTCACTTAAGGGTAACTACATTTGGGTGGGAACACAGTGAAAATGGAAAATGCTGTTTGAAAAGCCATCTCTGTGGCAGTAACTTAGCATCTACAGGATCTGACATGATAAAGAAATACATTTTTTAGAGTCTCTGAGCTTCATGTATAGTTTTTTATTTAAAACATTTTTACTCTCATAGAGTATCACAGGAACTTAAGGAATGGTTGTGAAAGTTCTTTATCTTAGATTAGTATATTCATGTATATTTACTACTGCAAATATATGTTTTTTCAATCCTTTCCAAGGCAAGAAACATATGAGCACAGGCAAAGAGCAGAGCCTGAGTACCCACTTTGTCCAGCTTGCTACCAAAGGCAGTGACCAACTTCGTATCAGCCATTCTCTCCATGTGAAGTAGTAGTTGTATTTGCTCCAGCACTGCAGTGGTCACTCCTTTTAACTTTTTAGAAATCAGATGAAAGAGCATCACAAAACCTACCTTTCAGAACTTCACTACGTCTATCTATAAATACACGGCTTGTTTTACAGAAGTACCTGTTCTGGATGTCATCTAAGTTTGATGTATATTGGGTGCGTGGTGGTGACACGGGAAGTTCTAGGTTGTGTCTTTTAACAGGTATGTTTAAGCCTCCACTCATGTCAACGTGGACTGGTTTCCTCACGTTCTCTGCAATTAAAGCATTTGCAAGATCAGCTTTGGGTTTGGAGAAAGTTTTTAGGCCTCATGGTCAGTTTAAAACTATATATATATTTTGCTTTGTTATTAGCAATGCAAAAGCCCTACTTTAAGTGGCATTATAGGGTAAGATAATTTACTGCTGACTACAGTGTGCAGACAACGCTCTGTTGACCCCCTCATGCACCTTCTATTCTTCCTGAATATAGGACAGTACTTTTGCCACACTCTGGCTTAGGCATATGTTGAAAAGCAAAAGAGTTTGAACTAAGGCTGCCTAGAGGGTTTCATTAGAGCATAATTAAGGATTTTAAGAAAGATATTCTGGGTACGAGAATTGATAGACCACTCCAGATGAAGATATGAGACAGGAAGCAGAATGGAATATTTAAATGTGAAGGCAAAAAGAAATGGATACAGGATAAAATAAATAAAATGGGGAATTTGCATAAGTGTGCACGGTTTTAAAGGGGAAGTAGGCAATAGTCAATGTTATCTAGTTCCTCTTATGTTCTGATTTTTTGTAGTCATTCTTTTGACTTTTGTTTCCTATTTCTAAATATAAGAAGATATTTGAGCAATGCCTTATAATCCAATAGAAGAGTACAAAGAACCCAAATAATAGCAGTAATAGCTAAGAATAACTGATTTGTTAATTGTGAAGTCAGACCATTTGTACATTAAACTCACCAGCATTGTCCTTTTTCGTTGATATTTGGTTAACAACATATAGATTGAGGAGATCTAAACTGACTGCTGAACTTTTAGGAGAGGAGGATGCTTCTAAAAGCTTCATCTTTGATTTAAGTTTCTTCTTCTCAAAGAATTCCTATAATTTTCAAAAGAGAGAGTAAACGTTTTGATAGAAGCCATACAGCTCTTGAGCAGGATATATGATACTTTTAAAATGAGCATGCAAGAATTAGCAGAAAATTTCTAATAATGAAAGCACCTAATTAAATCTCTCCAAATTCACTCCTCTACTATTATTTAATTTTGATTATCCTGAAGAAGACAGCACTAATATTACTTGTTCATCTTCAAAACAAATCATTGTTCTCTTGACGCCAAAAACATAGTCTGTAAACTCTTATGCCTCAACCTTTTTATAAGTTCATTGAAAATGTTTCTTTAAAATAAAAGACATGCCAAAATCCTTCAAGGAAACAGTCTTTAAAATTTCAACTTGAGCTTTTGAGGCAGCTTATGAGCTAGTAACCAGATCAGTAAAGTTACATACACAGGGCTATGTGTCTTCTTTGGTGGAGAAAAGAGTCTTGTGAACAACAACAAAAAAAACATAAAAAAGTAAAGAAGAAAAAACTCTATTACTGGGACTTTGAAGGCCTATGTTGCAAGAAACAAAAAGTAAAATGACAAAGACTTGGAATATATCGGGCAAATGATTCTGTCTAACCCTAAAACACCACTAGTAACCATGCAAGGAGCAGAATTTTCATTTTGTAGGAAGCTAGCAAATGGACAAACAAACAATGTGACTTCCTCATTTTAACCACAAGAAGACATGGAAAACTAAAGGCTATGGAAAACTAAAGGCCAAAACAAACAAATAAAAATCCTAGCTTTTCTTTGAAATGTAATTCCTCTCATGACGAGGGATTAATCTCGCATCTTATGTATAATTGATAAATCCAACATGCTCTTTAGTAGCTATTTTCCAGTATAAAGTATCAGATCACAATTTTTAGCGCTCTAGGACATTACTATCTGAGGAAAATGCATATTCTTCAGGTAATAAGAATATCTGCAATCAGTTAAATTCAGCTTGTGTACAAACTAATACTTCAATATCCACATTGCTTTGGAGCCCACATCCTCTAAAAGACACCTGAGTTCTTTCAATGCCCCAGGTACTTTCTTCTTATCACCTCTAAATTACTAAAACACAAACCTGTCTCTGATACTTTCCTGTTTCCTCTCCTCCACAAAAACAAATTACAGAGCTGTAAAATAAACAGGATGACTGACACCAGTGAATTGCTGAGAAAATGGGTATTTTGATGACTTACGTGCCCCCAAGGGACTGGAAAAGTGATGAGGACAAGTTATGGGAGCTACTGGTTGCTCCCTCAATCTTTTAGGTAGATAATTTTCGTTTCAGAGACTGGTTTCACACTATAATCTTGTTTTTCCTTCTGTGTGTGTCCATGCATCTACTCTGGGCACCGGGTGGCAGCAGCCTTAGTGACTGTCCTTAACATTGCCCTCTTTTCTTCCCAGCATCCAGGGACCTATCTTCCTACAGTTGTAACTATCTCCTCTTACTGCTATTTGAAATGTCTCCTGCTGCCCGAGCGATAAGTTTGATTCCACTAATCCTAGTAGAATTTGATTCTATTAGTTCACTTACAGATTCAGTTAGTATGGCTAAGTTGGACTATTCACTTGAATGTCAAAATCAGGTTCTCAAATGAACCTAACATTCCTTTAAGTAGCCCAGGAAAGAGCTGTATATATGTTAGGTTAGCTGACCATGTGTTGGTCACCAGGAGGCTTCAAACCTCATGGGTATCCCCTGCGTATCAGCACATATTGGCAAAATGTAGTGGCAAAACTGAAACTGCCCATGTGCAGACATTCATTCATGTCCTTTCCTACTTCCTTCTCTTGCTGGAATTGCTTGTGGTAAACTTAGAGAAAGACTTCTGTCCTAAACATTACATGCAGGCAGGCAAACACATTACAAGCAATTTGCTAGAGGTTTTGAACCTCAAGCCAACTGCTTTGAAAGATTTTCCATAGTGAATCAACCAAAGCATTTCCACATAATATATGTGAACAATGTGATATCCGTGACATCAATATCCGTTTACCTTTTGCTTCCGCCTTTGCTGCTTCAGTATAACTCTGCTCCTGAAAGGTGCAAATAATTATTGTTTTAATCAAGCATAGTCTTTAGGCAGAGCCTGAATTTCTTGCCAGTTTTGGACCCAAGTTGTTATATATCATGATGCTACCATGAACCAAGCCTACAGGTAGATAGGTCAACATAAATCTGTTAAAGTCACTTTGATCTTGGCTTGCTCAGCTGAGGATGTGACCACTTTCTATCTCAGAGCTACCAGACACAGCGTACATTGAAGTTACAGTTTTTGATTTAGACAATTTTTGATTTAGACACACTATAAGTGTGTCTAAAATTCAAACACACATTCTGAACTTATGTACATAAAATTTTACAGGCAAAAAAAGTAGAAGCCCCAGCTATGGATACTTTCCTGGCACCTAAAATGCAAATCCCAGATTTACCAGGGGTTTCCTGACAATTAGCAGCAGCAGAAAGCAGCATGATGATTTAAGCTATCTGCTAAGTGGTTGCAATACTCCCACGTTATTCTTTTTCTGACAAACAGGAGTGTGTGGTGGACAGGCATTTTGGACAAAGTTTATTTCAGACTGAAGCTTCTCACTTCCTGCTCACATGGGCAGCTATCAGAAACTCCTCTTTCTAGCAGGACTTCCAGATGCACAGGGGGTTATTTTAGTTTGCTTCTGTATACAGTTAGAATGATTAAAATTTGTGTTTAGCAAAGCTCCTTTCAAATGCCTGACCAAATCCTGAGGGTTTTAAATTCCTAATACATAGGCAGATGGTAGAACCCTAAAGAAAAACAGCTGAACATTATCCCTTTTATTTTAGTATTACCAGTCTATTGGAGATTATTTTACTACTTCAGCAAGCCTCCTTTTTTTCCTCAAATAGTCATAGTAGTCATGTGAATATCTTCATTATTCGAAGCGGACTGGTGGATGGAAGTTTCTGTAGCTAATATATCAGGTAAATGGGATTATGTGGGTATTGTTTTCACTGCTGCCGCTATATTCCTCACTGCCTTTGGGATAAATAAATGTGCATTTCTTATAGTATCTTATCTGCAAATAGGAAGAGTACAGCACTGTTCTCCCTTCTCCTATCTCCTTTGAAGTATTGTGTCTATTAAGCTCTCAGACAGGGATAATTTTCTACTGGCTCTTTGCAGTCGAGCGTTTGGGGTTATCAGCTCAAAAGCACCTCCAGATGCTGCTAAAATGCTAATAATTAATAAATAAAAGAGTAATTTCAAATCATTCACCTGAAAAGATACATCTTTCTTCTTACTAGGCTGATTTTTATTAACTTATGGAAAATATGCCAAGGATCTGCAGATGAATGTTGATAAACATTTTTTTAATGAATATGATTAATTCCTGACAGGGTTATGATAATAAGCAGTTTTTGAACTGCATAAATAATTCAGTTATGTCTTTTATAGTCTGCTGCCTAGAGAAATCTCTCTAAGGTGAGGAATTAAGTGCCATTTGGTGCCTTCACTAGTCACCTGAAGTGGCTCTGTAGCTGGAGCTAATGGAGGAATCAAGGGGGTCAGCAGAAGGAAATCAGACTGTTGTACCAAGATAAGACACAGCTGGCAACAGCATGTGTCTTCCAACTATTTTTCTGTGCTTTGTGTAATTCGATGTGTTAAACGACTGGATTTTTAATTGTATTTAATATATATTATTTTCCTAATTTACCTCTAATTCATCTAGCTGTTGTTATATCTTAGTTACTTTTATGTCAGAGTCCATGGCCTTGGGAAAAGTCTGAGCACTTGCACAGCATCGCGGAAGGGCTGATGCTGGCAGGGACCTCTGGAGATCACGCGGCGTCACCCTCAGCTCCTCACTGTCAGATATCCATGACTAAGTGCAATTTTGGTAGAACTACATCAGTAACAGCGTTCATAGCCCACCCTCTCCAGTGTGGCGGGGCATCTATGTCCCTTCAGGTGCTCTGCACCGCAAGGGGACACCAGAGCTGTCACCCACACTGTGGTCCTGACGGCCTGCAGGGAACATGGGGGCTACCATGCACACCATGGCCCAGCCTGGAGAAAGGGACGCACACCACGGCCTGGCCTGGAGGAGGGGACACCAGGGCTGTCACCCACTCAAATGTCTAGCCTGGAGGGGACACACAGACTGTCACCCACGCCATGGCCCAGCCTGGAGGGGGTACCACGGCTGTCACCCACCATGGCCCGGCCTGGAGGAAGGGACACCCACACCATGGCCCAGCCTGGAGGAAGGGACACCAGAGCTGTCACCCACACCACGGCCCGGCCTGGAGGAGGGGACACCAGGGCTGTCACCCACACAATGGTCCAGCCTGGAGGATGGGACATCAGGGCTGTCATCCACACGACGGCCTGGTCTGGAGGATGAGACACCGGGGCTGTCACCGACACCATGGCCCGGTTTGGAGAGGGCACCGGGGCTGCCACACACTCCCTGGCCTGGTCTGCTCTGCGAGGGACATGGGTCTGTCACGCACAGCCCCAGCACTTGCTTTCCTGCAGCCCCAGGAGCTTCACTCACCGGCTGCCCCCGACCCAGTTCATGTCGTGGGAGCTGCCCCCCCAGCCCGGCTGCTCAGCGCATGCAGCAGCACGAGGCGGCCAAGATCACAGGAATCCCCCCGGGAGGGCCAGCAGGGAGGAAGGGGCGCTGGCGGCGCCGCCGTCCTGCCTCCGCTGCTGCCATTTCCCTCCCAGCTCCCACCAGACACCCGTGGCAGCCAGCGCAGGGACCACGGGCCTCCCAATGCCTCATCTCACAGGCCCAGCTTGCAGAGCGGTGGCATCGTCCTTCCAGCTCATGGCTCCTAGCGTGAGGGACACAGGCACCTTCTGCCCCTCTCCGGGGTTTTGGGGGTGATGGGAGAGCCGGGAGCATTACTTCAGCCCACGAGTGTCCCCATTTACAAAATAAATGTTACAGTATAAATCTTCGACTTGTTAATATTATGTCTAAAAGGGAGGCATGTCAGGCATGATATAAGCAAATTCCTTTAACTTTTGTTTTTCTAACACAGGACTCCAGAAGCTTGGTATTTTCTGTATCAGCTTTATTCTTATTCTTCCACAGCAATATCTGCACTTAAAAGACTGCTCTTTTCTTTATATTTGATTTATTGAATATGCAGTAGCAGCGGTGGTTTGTAGAATCCCATAAAAGCAACATTATTTTTCAGTTTATTCCCTTCCTTAAATAAATTTCTTCAGATAAAGCTAAAAAGAACTTTTAAGTTACCGTGATATAAGGAATCAGTTTTCTCTTAATTGCTGGCAAGGCAAACAGCGACAAAGACCAGATGCCTCTCCTTTTCTAACATTTAAATACTGTGCCTTGACTGTCCGCATCTGAAAGCTTTCAAACACTAGGCTGTGGGCTGGAGTTGTGTCGTATGCTCAGAGAAATGCAGGACATTAGTATTCATTTTTAAAGGGCATGAGGATGAGTTTTTTGAAGTCTAGTTGCTTCTTTGTGAAGTAACTAAAGTCAACTAAATATAGAACAGGGAGACTTCCCCAGTGTTTCAGGAACTGAAGCATTAGATAGGAAGAAAAAAAAAACTTGAAGATTTCCCTTTTTTGGTAACTTTTTTAAATAGCCATTCTTCAGTAGAACCGCATCTCATGCTCCTTTGTAAGGAAAGTTACACAAGGTATTCTTCAGAGTAGCTTGCCAACTGTTGCTAACATAAAACAATTACAGTCCTGCCCCTAAAACTAAAGGCAGCTCCTCAGAGGAGGAAATTTTCCTTCCTTCTTAGATCAGCGCTAGGTATCAGTAGCAAAGCTGACCGAAGCATTGCACTACCTGGTAAGCCATGATGACTATTTCGCTTGTGGAAATGCCTCTCAGGCTGAAATCACAACCCTCAGCTTCCTGCCAGCCTTCCAGCTGTAGGAAAAGTGGCAAGCCTGGCTTTCCAGTTTGCCCAGAAATTCACCTTAGCTGCTGCTTCTCTTCTTACTCTCTTTCTAAACACAGGTGCAGGCAGGACTGTGACAAAAAATGTATTACTTTGCTTACATTTCTGAACAAATGTGAGCTAACGTCACTTCCAGTTTTATCTTCCTCTTCCTCCAAAAGGAAAGGTTATCTGGGAGACGTGAGGGAAGGTTATCTCACTTGGCTTCTTTCTTTTCGGTCTCTGCCTGCCACTGTTCCTATTTGTTCCTATTCTTACTGCTCTGCCATTCCAAGACTCAGAAAGCCTCTAGACAGAGGAGGCAAAGTTAAAGGAAGGAGTTACACTCCTGCTCAGCACCATGTCCTCTTCTACATACCCTTCTCTGAAAGGCCACTTCTCTCCAGAAAGACGAGGGGTGAGATATTGACCATGCAACTTTTGGCACTCAGCTTTGATTGTGTTTTGGGAAAATTTCTGCATAACCAAGAAGATGGAGTCATCTTAATGGTGACTCAGTGCACCTAAGTTATGTTCCTGCTCTGCTTACACTTGTCACCCCTGGAGCAAGAGCAGACAAACTACAGAATCACAGAATCCCAGAATGGTTGAGGTTGGAAGGGGCCTCTAGAGATCATCTAGTCCAACCCCCCTGCTCCAGCAGGGACACCCAGAGCACATGGCACAGGGTGCCATCCAGGTGGGTTTGGAAGATCTCCAGAGAAGGAGACTCCACAGCCTCTCTGGGCAGCCTGTTCCAGGGCTCTGTCACCCTCACAGGAAAGAAGTTCTTCCTCACATGGAGATGGAACTGCCTGTGTTCCAACTTGCACCCATTGCCCCTCGTCCTGTCACTGGCCACCACCGAGAAGAGTTTGGCCCCATCCTCTTCACATCCTCCCCTCAGGTATTTGTACATATTGAACAGATCCCCACTCAATCTACTCCAGGCTAAACAGGCCCAGCTCAGCTCGTCTAGTCTTTCCTCATAAGATAAATGCTCCATAGAGCATAGATGCTCCTCATAAGATAGATGCTTTCCTCATAAGATAGATGCTCATCTAGTCTTTCCTCATAAGAGAGATGCTCCAGTCCCTTAATCATCTCTGTTGCTCTACACTGGACCCTCTCAAGAAGTTACACAGTGAAATTGCATGAATCGAAAGTGTTAATCTAAATAACACCTGCAATGTTACTGTATCCTGAAGAGTTGAATTCCTTGCCTTCTCTAAGCAGGATAGTCTCTTTCAAGGGTGAAATGACCCTGTTTATGTAAAATACTGTATTTACTGGAATGAGTGAGAGAAGATGAATTTTCAAATCACTTCTTAGGACTAGCTGCAAATGGCTCTCATGTTTCCTAATGAAACCTTCCATTGTAACATTGCTTCCCAGCAAGTGTCCTCATCTGGAGATGATTATAACAAAGACAGGGATTGCTGAGTAGATGAATATGTAATAAAAAAGAAACCCTGGGGATTCTCACAGTTGGGTTTAAATGTTTTAGCATTACAGATTTTTGTGTGTGTGTGATAATTTAACATAATTTTAACTTTGATGTTTGACCAAAATGTTTGATTTTCATGTCTAGCATCAGGTAACTAAATCTATCTACAGATATCTATATAAAAGATGCGGAGTACCTGAAACAGCTTTGAATGTTACGTCCAGGGATGGTGTTTTGGTACTTCTAAATATCAGCCACATTTATTTATGTGCCTAAATATTGAACTAATTATCTTGTGCTAGGAACTCGTGATTGTGGGAAAAAAAAGGAAAGAATGAAAGAAAAAAGGGCTGTTCCAAGTGAAAGCTTTTGTTTGACAACCCCACTGCTGGAACTTCTTTGTTTACAGCATTGCATAATGTTCTCCCAGTTTTTTTGTTTAGCAAAACAAAGAAACACTGCCCTTGTGGCTTCAGTTGGTGTTTTAGCCCTAAGAGACTTACTTTTAAAAAGATTGCTGTGATATTGCAAAGGCCTGATAGTATCTGAAGAGGTTTAAAACGGAAGATGAGAACTTGTTTGAAAATGAAGTCACTCTTCAAAAAGCAATCCCTCTTGTAAGACAGATTTCTTTTTCAATTCATTTGATTAAAAGCCCTTTCCCGCATTTACCTTTAAAAGGCAGATGGCCTCTTTTTAAATTTACTCCATGGACACTGCAGAAGCACATAACAGTTGGATGGCAGGGACTTCTGGAGATCATCTTGTCCATCCTTCCCAGTACTGCTCAAGCAGGGTCAGCTAGCACAGGCTGCACTGTGTGAAAAAATGTTTTCTTATGCTCAGATGGAATATCCTGTGTTTCAGTTTGTGCCCATTCTGACCCTGGGCATAACTGAGAAAACTCTGGCTCCATATTCCTCACACCCTCCCATCAGATAGTCATTAGTAAGAGTTCCCTGAGACTCCTCTTCTCCAGGCTAGAAAATACCTGACTTCTGCATCGTGAATCTAAGCTGGCTTCCCCCTTTCTGCCTCTCATAGGTCAGGGAATAGTATCTAGGATTAGTTACCTCCCCAGGGATCAAGGTGAGGAGAACCTACAGTTTTCTGGTTCCTCCTTTTGCTTCTTAAAGATGTGCTGACATTTGCTGCTGCCCAGTCCTTGGGAACCTCTCGTTGCAGACCGCTCCACGGCTGCAGAAAATGAAACACCACTGTTGAAACCAGCTGCACAAGTTGTTGTTGACCCATGGGGTCTGTTCCATCCTCCTCAGGCCCTTCCTGTGTACTTGCTGGCTTGAGGAGAAAGCTACGTGGCCCCCAAGGCCCTCACCATGACCCTCAGGGCCACATAGTCCGGGGCCACGTCATCACACCTGGCACTTGCCAGCTCGTCCTTGCCAGGATTATCACCTCAGAATTGCTCCAATAGATAACAGGGTCCATGCCCTGTGGCGTGTCACCACCGCGGCTGAGGATGTGTACGCTGCCCCGAGCAGTGTTGCCAGGCCCTTCTTTGCAGGCCTCTCTTAGTTCAAAGAATTCCAGAAACTGCAGAAATATGAGGGATTTATATACTTTAACACAGAACACTAAACTTCAGCCAAAGATCTAAATTAAAAAACACACAGTGGGCTTCCTTATGTTCATGTGCAAGGTCTCCTCTTCCTCTTCAAGAGAAAATGCAACTCTCTACCTGATACTGATCAAGGCGGAAGATCTGGTCACAGCGGAATCCCAGTTTTATCACAATAACTTTACTACAAGGAGCACAAAGACCAGAGAATCCACTATAATTGTGTTAAGCCCCAGCAAGGGAATAATGTAAAGCTTGTTAAAGATGAATTTAGGAGAGGCAGATAAAAGAATTACATCCATGCACATGGCCAGGAGACTGCTGAAGGATATTAGACCTGAATCAAAGAAACAGTCTGAACCATAGCCAAGAGTTATACTGCATCCAAAATAAGATAGTAGAAAGGAACATAAACTTTGACAGATTAAATATAAGAATGAAGATAGGCCACAAAGAACTTGAGAAATAACCAAAGAAACCAAACTAGAAATCAATCTTACACATCAATCACAAGGAAAAACCTGCTGTAAAGTCCAAAGAGCCAATTGACGACCAGGCTATAAAAAGAGTGCTCAGAGGAGACATGGATGTTACAGAAAATCTAGATTATTATTTTTCA